GCCCGCGCCCGGCAGCCCGCCCTGCGAGCTCTCAGCCAAGGGCGAGCCGGCCGGCGCCGCGTGGGCCGCGCCCGGGGGACCCTTCGCGAGCCCCGCCGGGGACGTGGCGCAGGGCCTGGGCCTCAGCGTGGACTCAGGTAAGCGGAGGAGGGAGTTTGGTGTTCCTGGGGTCCCTGCGGCTCTGTACCCGGCCCTGGGCTGAGCCCCGGAGCCCCTTAGTTCTCCTGGGAGATCCCCCCGGGACTCTGTGGCCCGAGGGTCTGCGTGGCATGGTGTGTTTTAGCTGATAGATGACCCTGTGCCATGGGTGTGGGCGGGACGAGAAAGTGGGACCCTGCCCTAACCTGGCTGATAAATATTAGAGGACTTTTTTTTTTTTTTTTTTTTTAATGAAATTTAGTGGAAAGATTCTAGCCCTGCGCTGTTCAATACTGTAGCCACTAGCCACGTGTGACTATTGAGCCGTTATTGTGGCTGGGCTGAATTACGACGTGCTGCCAGTGTATAAAACACACGGCATTTCGAAAATTTTGTGTAAAAATAAGAATGTAAAATTCACCTTAATATTTTTATATTGTTGCGTGTGAAAATATTTTAACACGTTGCATATTGGATATATTGGGTTAAAACATTAAAATTAATTTTCACCTGTTTCTTATTCCTTTTTTTCACTGTGGCTGCTAGAAAATTTAGAATTATGCCTGCGGCTCCCATTGTATTTCTATTGGACAGCGCTGATCTAGAGAACCTGCTGACAGTGTAGTCTAAGATCCTCTATGGCTTGGAGAGGTCTTGTCACCTAGTGATAGTTATAAGGAAAGAAAAATATGTGACTCTGATATTGGCTTAACTGCCAAATTAAATAAGTCTCTTAAAGATGTAAAACTTAAAGAATGTGATCTTAATGATGATGCTAAGTCTCTGGCTTGAAGAGTTGAATTCGAAAGGTACATTTAATTAAGGGTTTGTTTTTGTGCTTTTTTTTTTTTTCTTAATTTTTAGAGCAAATAAAAAAACAGTTATAAGTGCGATCATTGGCTTGTAGTCTTGTCCACTCCCCCTTCCCTCAGGTGAAGATTTGACTTTTCTGTTTGCTTTGCTTTTACTTTCATTCAGCCCCCTTTAGATGAAGTCTGTGACTTTCACAGTAAAACAGTGGTGTTTGTCTTTTTCTTTAAATATCTTGTGCCTTCCCTCCCCCACCCCTTCTCTTTTCCTCTTTCTTCTCTTCTCCCTTTCTCTCTCTCCTCTTATCTCTGTTTTCAGGTTTGCAGCCTCAGGACAAAAGCAAGGATCTGTACTGGTTTTAGACAGCCACCTTCTTCCCTGTAGGTCTCTGCATAGTGCAGTTGGTGACACTCAGAGCTGAAATGGAGTGGGTTTGTAACCGCTTCTGATCTTGGTTTGCAGCTCGTCGTTATTCCCTCTGTGGTGCATCCCTCCTGAGCTGATCTGCTGACCCAGGGTCTCCCCTTCCCTTTGCCTTCTGACCAGCCACGAAGGCTCAGCATCTGTGCGAGGACATGAGGGAAGGCAGAGACTTCAAACTTCTCAGTGTACTGGGGAAACCAAAAGCCACACCTACAGAAGTTTTGTCTAAAATTAACTCCTTCTGCCAAAAGAGCACGTCCATAGACTGAATTGTTTAATGACTTTTGGCCAAATCACTGGAAATACCTGTGGCAAGATGGCTTAGTCAGGTGATATGATATCATAAGCCTTCTTGGAAAGGGGGAAAGAAGAAAAGACTTTGTGGTGTGAATATTTTTTATGCTGATGTGAATTATTTCATTAGGTAGTGTGATTATACCACTACTGATGTCAATATCCTCAGATTTAAAAATGAATTTGTATTTGCATCAAAGACTGTCATAGAGAAGTAAAAAGAAGCCAATTCCTTCTTCCTCACCACTCAGCCTCCAACTCTCTTCCTGCCCATCCCCTCCCCACGTCACCCACTCCAGACACAAAGACACACTTTTTCCTTTGGACTGTGAACATGGAAACCTCAGCCTGATTGTGAGTGGCAAGTGGCTTATCTGGAGCCACCTGCCCAAGTCTTACTGAAATGCAGCTGTTGTAGGACAACTGTTTAAAACTCCAGAAATACTCGACCAAGGTGGCAATTCCCAGTGTTTGGCAGAACAATTGCAATTGTACTGGATATATTTTTTACATATATGTATATATATATCACATTTTTACAAGGAACATTTTATGATGAAAGAAGAAACCCTTTTCTTCCTTCTTTCCTACAAATTCTGTACTCCCCTCCATCCTCTGGATGAAAAAGCAACAAGACACCCTGACTGTTTCCATGGAGAAGAACTAGGAATCACCACAAGGGAAAGAAATGTATACAGATTCTCCAATACCTCAGATATTTTCCTCAATGTCTACAGTGTGATTCAGTCACTTTAGAGTTGGGGCAGGGGAAGGGGTCTGTGCATGGGCAAAGCTTAAAGGTGATGAGGAAGAAGAAACGAACATTAAAGATGTCTATTTACTATGAGTTCACTGTGTTGTTTCATAAAAAGGAAATACATGTCTTAGCTTTTCTCTAGTAGAATAAAATAATTTACAGTAGTATGATCTGATTTCAGTAATATTACCTTACTTATGTGTATGTGTGTGTATATACACACACATGCATGCACACATGCATGTGTGTATCTTTTTGTTTTACAAAGTGTTTTCTGTGCTATGAAATTTGTTAACCCCCTCCTTTCCACTTCACATCAGCACAGAAGTTGAGAAGTTAGGTGTTCCCCCCACCCCCCTCACCCCACCTATTTTACAGATGAGAAAATTGTAGCCCTTGGAAGCCAAGGCTTACCTGTTAGCATTCAGCAAGTTAGAAGCAGAGATCATAGAGAAAGCACTTCCTGTAGACCATTCAGTCAGATACAGATTTATTATTTTCCAGAAGGGAATTATTGTTACTTCTTAAATTCAAGACTCTTAAGACAGTAAAGTCATTGGTTATAAGTGTTTTTCAAATATTGACTATTTTATATTTTAATAAGCTAGGCTAAGAAACCAAACCTCTCACTAGGCAAAAAAAGAAGAGAGAGAGATTATTAAGAAATTGATAGTCTTTCTCTTTGTTTTCCTTTGATGCCAAAGTTATTTGTGTTTTTTCACAAAAGTGTCCAGTATGGATATTTTGTCTTGTGCTCAAATTGCCCTTATACATTGTTGAAGCATAAAAATATTAATCCAAATCTTGATCTTCATTATAATATGAGAGGCAAATATCATTTATCTTGGAAAATAGTCTCAAGAGTTAGAAGCAGTTAAAGGACCCTATTCAGAGCATGAGTTTGTCAGAGTTACCTATCCCCTCTTTCTATCGTTGGGTACCTGTAAAATAGATATATGATCATTATAAGAATGATATTGTTTTTGCTCACATGGAAGGTAGTGTATGATTATGCTGCACCAGTTGTGATAACAATAATAATAACTAATGTTAATTTTTATGCACCAGGCACGGATCTGAAGGCTTTATGTATAGATTGACTCATTTAAGCCTCACAACAATTCTATGTGGTATTCATTATTGTGATCTCTTTCTTACTGTGAGGAAGCTGAAGCACACAGAGGTAAAATAATTTGCCCAGTGACAAAGCTTGTAAGTGGCAAAGCCAGGATGCAAACCCAGGTAGCCCTGTGCAGAGGCTTCACTGCAATAACTGCTTCATTGTCCACTGCAATAACTGCTTGTCCAGTACTGATTTCTCTCTTTGCAGTTCAACTTTGGGCTTATTTTCTCCTTCATGATAGCTGAGTAAGGAAGGGGGGGAAAGAAGGGAATGAAAGACTGATGTTTTGTAGAACTTACAGGATTATAGGTCTCAAAGGAACTGTCACAGGACATTGTCCAAACCCTTCATCAAATGGCACGACTTTTAGACCATTGAATCAGATACAGATCTCTATTCTTCTCCAGACAGGAATTATTATTGCTTCTTTTATTAAATCATTCCAGTATTTAACAGCCTTCACTGCTCTGAAGTTCTTCACACCCAACCTATCCAAGCCATGTACAAGTTAGTCTGAGGTTTGGACATTGAAGCAATCACTAAAATTAACTTTGGACTTCTCTGTGGGTTTTTTTTTTTAATCCATGTTCCACTGGCACGGATCACTGGTATATACAAGCTTAAATAAAATGCATTAAGTCCCAGAGGGCTTTTCAGAATTTGCCACTACATAGCTGTTGAGGAAATCATAGCAGTGCATTCTCTGCTAGACAGCTCCTCTAAGTACTCCCCACTGGTAGAGGCTCTTTACCTGTGCTCCACCTGCGTTACCACTCACAAGATCTGTGATCAGAACCCACAGGGAGCGTTTCCCCAACCACAAGGTTCTGATTACTGAAACCTCTCTCCTAAGCTGCATCTGACCTGAATATCAGGTTGCTGGTGAGGAGACTCATTCACTGAACCTAGCCTTTGGGGCAGTCCTGAACAGACCATCCAGACCAGGCTCCTGCAACCTGGCACGTAGGACACATGAAGCACAGCATTATGCTTCATTTTATACCCTCTTAAAGGAAATGCAAGATGACCTAGAACTATAATGATTTGGTTCTGTGTAATAAGAGCATCAAAGAGAACTTTGGTGAATTAATAGCCCTAACTGACATTCTTTAGACCCACCAAATCATACAAAATATGAACTCCCATGACTATCTTGCTAATATTGGTGAAATCAATCAGATTTCACTAGGACATTCAAGGAAATGAGGGATGACATGAGAAAAAGCAAATGTGATGTTTTTACATATTTCATACCTGGTTGGGGTCTGAGAGAAAGATGAGATTCTCCTCTAATCATACCCTTTGGCTTGGAGTCCTTTTTACCCACAGCTTTCCCTTTGTACTTGGCCTAGGCCCAGGGAGAGGTGATGAAAAGGGGAGAGACAGCTCTCCACCACCAAGTAATCCTTTTGCCGATTGCCCTTTGGCTGAGAACTCAGTCACCCAGCTACAGGGAACTCTATCTGTTCTACTCCTTTAGTTTAAAAGGAGTTGCCATCCCGTCTCATTTCCCCTTTGAAGTTCTATTTCGATGCATGGCAAATTCTAGCAATGACTTAAGATTGATTTGGGCCTGGATGGGAGGGAGAGCAGAGGTGGGTGTTGGGACTTGGACTCCCTGACCGAAAGCTTCTCTTGCCACTCTTGAGTTTTGTGATTTCTGTGCCTTTTGCATCTGGGGGTAAACAACTTTTTAGGTTACTATGACTTCCATTTTGCTTAAGAGTCACAAAGCCCATGTTTCTGTGCAGGCTCCTGGATGTATTCTATCAAAGTAAAGAAGCTTTTTTTATGTACTTAGTGATGGGTTACTTTGGAGTTGGAGGAAATAAAAAAATAAATAAAACTTAGACAAACTTTCATATAAATACCATTTCCATAAACTGCATTTTTAATGCATTTATGATGCATTATGATGATTTAAATTCGTTACGATGGTGTCAAAGCATGGAAGAAAAATGGAAAGATATTTGAAAAGACTTTAAAAATAAACAAAGCTGCAAAACATAAGATTCCTTTATAAAATTGCTTTAACAGTTTGTTGACAATTTGCATACAGATAATTCACATTTTGATTGTTCTTGTCAAGTTGTTTGCTCTGTATATTCCATTTTTTCTTGCTAGATTTTTAGCATTTATTATATATTCCTAAAATCTGGAGTAAAGGAATAAACGGCCTAAAGACAGGATCGTTATTATAGTTGCTGTCTGTATATAACTGAAGTTGTGACATTTACATAAGCAACAGGGTTAAGCAAACATAAATTTCACATTTCCTAAATACCATGTCTCCCTTGTCACCCATGAGTAAATGAAACTCTAATAATAAAAATACAGGATCCCCAAAATTATATCTATTTATCCACAAATATACTCCCCCCACCCCACCCCCAACACACACACACACACACACACACACACACACACCCCCAATGCGGGCTAAAGAGAAATCAGAGACATCATGCCCTCAGACAGACACAGACACAAATGATTATTCTCATTTGACAGACCAACTGTACCACTCTTTCCTTATATTTCACTCCAGCCCCAGAGGGCTGGATCAGGAAAGAGACACTTGATAGCTGCTGTTTCCATAGTTGAAATATTTGTGAAGTTAACGCACAATCTGAAAGCAGAAGCTAATAAATTATAGGGTGCTAATTGGAGCTGGAGTGGAGCTGTCAATCATGTTATCCTAAACACAGAGAGACCCTCATAACCTAAAAAGGCAAGGCAGCCTCCAAGAACAGCTCCCAGTTGTTTGCAGCCATGACCTCCAAACATCATGTCCAGGCAAAGAGTGGCCACTGACAGAGTCAGCAGAGGTAATTCTGCTAATCCAAGTCTACTTTGAGATAGACAAATTTTCTCTTAGGGGGAAGAGTACAATATTTTGCTGAAAAAATTATGTTTAACCTTCAGAGGAATATGTATTGAGTTTACTAGAAAAATTATTACTCTGGTAACCCTTTATTTGGAATGTTATCACTTTAAAAAAACAAGTTAACTCAATAAGAGAAAAATCTACAAAAGCTCTCTACATCTATATAAAATCTATAAAGCTCTCTACGACATTGTGTCAGGTCTACCTCACATTACAGTATTTGTATAAGTTTTCCAATGTACTCTTACAAAACTAAGCTCCTCTAAAATAAAATTAAGAGGTCCAAATTTCTTCTGCCTTACTGGAATTCAGTTATTTCACCTACAAAAACAGCAGCAGCATATTTCCTATTACTTTGTTTTGTACTTAGAATCTCTCATTAAACTCTATTTCTACTTATCTGCCAATGTTTCAACTAAAGTGGTTTTATTCAAACTAGCCTCCTCTCATTTCCATTTCCTATCAGAAATGCATAAATGAGTAACTATAATATGCATCTATAATTACTTATTTAAAAATTAGGTTAAAAGTAAATTAAATTTTAGAAAACCAATCTAAGGAATTATTTTTTTTATTTCTAACCAATATTTGCACCACTCTAATAATCTAGTTACTAATTAGAAATTTTTATCAATATTTACTTTTGGAGTACATACATTAATTTCCACCTGTATTTACAACTAGGAAAATACTCCACTTACCTTCTAATTTGGAAGCTTCTTCAGAATACCTCAAATAAAAAATAGTTTTCACTCAAGAAAATAAAATCAGGGATCTTAAAATTCTAAACACACACTTGCTAGAAACAACAATTATGATTGGGATCATTGATGGGAATGTCTCAAACTCCTCTCTCTTCTAATTCTCAAACTATATAGCCTTGCCCACAATTTTGTTATTGCTCTTTATTTTTAGTAGGTACAGTCCTATTTCTTTTTTCTTCTAGTGCATTTTGCCCAATATGTACCCCATCTCAGAAAGCAATTGGACATTTTTTTCCTCTAGTATCATATTACTTTTTTCTCATTGTACCTGCTTTTTAAGGAAATTTCTTGATATCTTTGGAAGCAGTACCTAA